AAGAGCTGAGGATATAGCTCATTGTAGAGTGCTTGCCTGGGAATCAATCCACTGGGTTCAATATATATTCAGATTATGTCTAAAACATTATAAATTATATTTTCATTATCTGCAAGGTGACCCATAATCTGCACATGGAGGCTTTGTATGTGAGTATGATGGAGACTTACTGTGCGAGTAGGAAACGGCTCCATCCCAGATCTTTCCACAGACTTAACAGAAAAAGTAATCTATAGTATTTAGCTCCTGAGTATAAAAGGAAAGATCACAAAAATGCAAGACCTTGAGCACTTCTCAAAATTGTTTCTGTAATGCACAGCCTTGTAAGATGCTACAGTGTCACCCAGTCTACCCATTCATGTGAGTGCATAGGTAGCACAAATTCCCTCCAGGAACCCAGGGACCCTTCACAGAAATGACAGCAAAATGGTCTCAGGCAGCAACCCATGAATTCCCTCAACAGTGCTGCTTCCTGTTTGAAAAGATATGTTCACTGCAGATATAAAAGAATGAGCCATGGTACACCACCCCATAAGCAGAGAGCTAATCTAAAGTAGTTAAATCCTTTGGAAGGAGTGGGCTATGGTGGCACATGCTTATAATTTCAGCACTCAGCAAGGCCAGCCTGGACTATTAAGTGAGACTCTGTCTCAAAAATAAACAAAACCCTGAAATAGATTACAAATGAACACACAATGTCTTGTGCAAATTAGTTTCTTGTGGAAACCAGACAATATCATAAAGGACAGGAATTGTTCCATGTCAACTTTAGGGGTAGTTTTTTAAATCTCTGGGAATTCTTGATGTTACATAGATTTTACTTTTAGATATTTTTCATTGGCTCTTTGAAAGTTAGGCTAGTGAAATACTGAGTTAATGATTCTTTAGGTAAGAATCATATATACGGAATTCTGTTCTGTATGAAATTCTGGGATAGTGCTCGGCATTCCTGAGAGGGAAGATGCAATTTTGTTTTTCTTTTTAGGCAGTTGGGCTCTGGTGAAATTGACATGGGGGTAGTCTGGACCCGCATATTCAGGAACCAAGCCCAGATGTTTGGCCAGAGGGTGGTAAAGGGAAACACATGTTATCACAGGGCAATACAGAGCACAGTATAATAAAGTCTGTTATGGGGGGAAACTAATAGTGTTCCTATAAGAGCACGATGAAAAGAACTTAATTAAATCAGAAATATTAATATGACCTAAGGAAATTTTCTTTTACTCTGTCATGAAAGAAATTCTACTGGAGTGTTCATGTAAAACACTAAAATATACATCCTTAGAATCCCATCTTGGTACCTCATATTATTTTCACACTTCTGAGATGACTTTAATTCCTAAGCCTTCAGGGATGCACCTGTTCTATCCTCCAGCTGAGGTGTGCCCCAAACTCTCTAATTGTGATATGAATATAAGAAAGCCTTTTTGATGTTAAATTTATAAGCAAATGTCTTCCTTGAGAAGTAAGTGAACCCAACTATCTATCTATCTATCTATCTATCTATCTATCTATCTATCTATCTATCTATCTATCTACCCATTGAAGGGGGGAAGTTTTTTTTAAAGCAAACTTTCCCTGAGTTTCAGAGTAGCTGTTGTAGATTCTAGTTTCCTGGACTCTGGGAGAATATTTGAGTCTATTTTCCTCCAGTGCATGTCTCCTGAATAAAAGGGAATTTCATTGTGTTAGAATCATCTTATTTTTATCAGAAAGCACAAGGGGCAACGGGGTAAATCAAAAGAATAAGTGGATATGCTACCAGAAAAAGCAGCTTTTTTTTACCTCTACTAATACTTCTTTGTTATTACAAAACAGATTTCATGATTCAGATCCTTACTATCATCTTTATTTAAGGGACTTTCCAGCAGGAAAATATTATAATTGCTCCACATAGAGATAAACTTTGTGGGAAATCAAAGAAAAAGAATTTCCTCCTTTTGGGCTGGCCAAATAACTCAGAGGATTAAAGTGGTTGCAAGCAGGCTCAGGGGCTGGGGATTTGATCCCTGGGGCTTGCCATGCAGGCCCCGCCACCAGGGTGCACTGAGACAGCAACTGAGACTGGGTGTGGTGGTGTGCACCTGTAATCCCAGCTCTTGGGAGGTTTTAAACAGGAGAATCACTACAAATCCAATCTAGTAGTCAGCCTCTGAACACCCTGTCGACCCTTCCCTAAAATAAAAAAAAATAAAAATAAATAAATAAAAATTTCCTCCTTTCCAGAAAAAAGAATAAAGGGAATAATAATAAGTTAATTTATAAGTATCATAGGCAGGAACAAATAGGCAAGAAAAAATCAGGGAAATGTTATGAATGTCAGAAAAATAACATAACCAGAAAACAGCACGATAAAAGAAAGTGGAAAGATAAAAATCCAAGTTAAAGCAATAAATTGCACTATAAGAAATTTTTAAAATTATTAAGTACTTTAAAGACAAAGTACTTAAGGGTCGATGAAGAACCTCCTATAATAATCATCGAAATCTGAATAATAAACTGAAACAGTCCCTTTGGTGCATAATAAAGTATGTAATTTTAATTATGTGATTTTTCTAGCTAATTTCTACATCAAAAACAGTAAGTACTTCTCTTACAAGGTGGCAGATCCACTGAAAAGAAAGGTTTGTGCTACTATTGTTTGGACTAGATATCATCCCTATATCTTGTACTGTGAATATCTACTATGAAGACAACAATGTGCAATGTGCTAACATTGTAACACTCCTACTAACCTGTTTTGAAATGCTGTTTTATTGTTATTTTAATTTTTTTCTCTTTAAAATAGAAAAAAACAAGGTGGCAGAGACAAGAACTTTTCTCAACCTCTCATATGCACATTGTCATCAAAATTTAAATTACCCGCAACATGCCTTTTAGTTAAATTACAATTAGCCCTTAGACAGATCTATTTACTGAGAACCCACTATGTGCCAAACACTGTTGGCATATGCTACACAACAGTTTGCATTTGTAGAGCACTTTTTCCTTTTCGGGTTCTCACAAATGACATTTTAAAACAAACTATGTTTGTTCTTCAGCATTATCTGCACAAAATGAAAACATTTATTATTATAAATTATTCCTACTCAGGAAAATCTTACTTTAAAAGATTTCACAATATACCCACTTGTATTTGTGTATAGTACATATTTTATATCTGTTATGTGTGGAAGTCAATCAACCATGATAAATAAAAACAGATTGCCTGACAAAATAAAACAACAATTTGGGAAGAGTGGAAATGGCACATTTGTCAGAAGATGTCCACAAATAATTAATTACTTTAGCACATTAAAGATATTCTGTTAATATCAGAGCCTCTTCTAAAGAGGATACTCATTACTTTCTAACCATCTGTCATCACTCCTCCCCAAAAAACTAATTAGGTTTTCATCCAATCACACATTATAAATGATGCAAATATGGATGGTAAAAAACACAATTTAAAGAAGTTAATACAGTAACATTTTTGTTTTAAAAACCAAGGGCTTCAGAGCCAGTCTTCTACACTCTAATTATTAAAGGGCTTATTTTCCTAGTAAATTATTAGATATTAAACTTTAAAAGTTAAATTAATCACACACACAAACTTACAGATAGTAGAGTTTTCCTGCAGCAGGGAGGTCCCTTTTCCGGTAATCTATTCCAGAATCTAGCTGGACAGTATTACAATATTCCTACAATCCAAATACAGAAAATGTCGTTTTAAACAAGTACTGGTTTAGAATTAATTATAAGCTTTATGCTATATGCTATTTTTTAAATTCATGATATGTTTTAACAGAATAGTGTACTGAACTTAGGACAAAATAATAGAACTCATATAAGACTCACAGAATTGAATTTGCACCATTAAGCATATATCGATCCAACAAAATAACAGTTTTTAAAAAATAAGATTTGTATCATGCTTTCCCAAAACTTTGCAAAATAGTACTGTCAGCAATTTCCCCAAATTACTGCCTTGGGGTTTTGTTTTATTTTTAACATAGCGTAATTTCTATCACCCTGGAATGGGAAGCTGGAGGTTACACCTCCTGGGTCTTAAGCACCACAACGGAGAAGTCTGAGAGAGCTGGGCCTTATATTAGTGTCCCCATTTCAAAACCATCCTTTCCTGATGTAGATGCCTCCTTTTGAACCAGTCACTAATGTCCTCTGTTTCTGCCCTGGGCTCCTTTCTTTCCATCCTCCATGGTTCATCTGTGCATGCAAATACACACCTCACACACCCCACGTTTGCATTACATGAACAAGTGAATTTTCACTCTACCTACCTTGATCAGTTGGATTGGGAGTCATGGAGGAGGGACTATATTAGGGACAGAAATAGTGATAGCAATAGCAACAGCGACAGAGACAGAGACAGACAGGTACATCTAGACATTCTTTCCAGTAGAATGGTGACCCAGGGTTTTTAGATCAAGTTGAGAAACATTTGCAGGCTTACCATTTAATTTTTATTCAAAGTAAAAATTCCTTTATGAAAATTCATAAGGAAAAAATTATATTGTAACAACTTCATGATTTTTGTTAATAAAAAATTGCATTTTAAAAATCTTTTGGAACCAAATTAACTCTGTCTGATTTTTTCCAAAATAGCCACAATAATCTCTCCATTCCAACACGTTCTTCTTCCAATGTGGTTAACATTATGACCAACGATACATGGGGTCCATATTTTGTCCTATGATGCTATGTAATAACATCCTATGTGACATTTAAAGCAATTTCCTTTTTTTTTTCTCATATTTTAGGGAAGGGTCTACAGGGTGTTCAGGGTCTCAGTACTAGATCGGACTTGTAGGGACCCCCCTGTTCACAGCCTCCCAAGAGCTGGGATTACAGGTGCGTACTACTACACACAGTCTTAACTGCCAGCTCAGCACACCTTGGGGGCGGGGCCGGCAGGGCAGGCCTGGGGATTGAATCCCTGGCCCCTGCATCTGCTTGCAGGCGCTTTAATCCACTGAGCTATTTGGCCAGCCCAGCAATTTTTTATTTGTTGGCTGGTATCTCTGATCATGAACTAACTTGTTCCACTTTTCTGGGGAAGATGCTGAGGTTGTATTGTTCATCACCATTGTGGAGCTCATGAAGGTAAGTGAAATTTTGCCAGAGTTTCAGTTTGTGAACTGAACTAATTATCTATAATACTTCTGGTATGCTAAAGTGCCTGATAAGCGTCCAACTCCCTGGAGGCCACATTGCCATGAAAAAGCTTACACTGGCCCATACAGAGAAAGCCCTTGCAGCGGTCCTGACACAGTATGAAGACTGCAGCATAGACCAGCCGGTTCCCAGGCGTTCCAACTACAGCCACTATGGTACTGAGGAAGCTGCAAGGGCCTGCTGTGCTTGTTCCAGTTCCTTGACCCTCAGAAACCAGGAAAGAAACTAATGTAGTGCTATTTTAAGCCTCTCAACGTTACAGTCATTTATAACGTGGCAAGAAAGCACCAGAAGGGTAACATGGGCGCACATAGGAGAAGGAGCAGCATCTTCTTCCGGGAAGCTGCCTTCAGGGTTGTGGTGCTGTAGCAGAGCTGCAGGCTCATTGTTACCTGTACCCTACAGCAGGGAGAGTGCATGCCCTCTCCTTTCATGCTGCAGCTGCTAAAGGACTCTGGGGCAAGAGGCTAACCAACTCCCACCCGGGACTAAAGGGTTGCCACAGACAGCAGAATTTTAGGACACAGAACTTCCAGGGTTACTATTAAGCCAGTCGTGGACAATCTGGAGTAGTTGGTCACCATAAGAGTAAAGACCCAGAAAACTGGGCTAGAAGGCTGACAGAAGTACAGCACTTTGGTGTATATTTTAACAATTGTGAATTTGCTTAGCATAAAATACCCCCCCCCCAAGGTAAACCCCTAGCGTGCCTACAAAGCTAAGCTTCTATACCACCATTTGAAAAACAATACCTGAACCTTAGACATCATGGCTCCTGACACTGCCTGGTCTGACCAGCCACCCGGCTGTCTTCACGCAGATGTCCCTCACTCATCATTCCAAGGTGCTCAAATGCTCCCCTCGGGCCTCTCTTTCAGGACCCAAGCTCTATAATCCATTCCACCAGAAAGGAATACAGCATTGTCCAAAAACTCATTCTGCTCTTCACTTGTCTCACATGACCATCACTAAAGAGAAAATGTATCTATATCCAGCCATATGTCCTTCTTTTCAACTTTGAGTAATGCAATAAACCTAGGAAGAGATACATTCTCCCCACTGTTTCCCCATGATAAGGAACAGCCACCCAGGTCCAAGAAAGAAGAAAACATCCTTGTTTAGAAGCAAGTCATACTTGGCCTCAGGGAAATCTGCCCTGGTGTGGAAAGCTCGGGCCAGCTATTCATACACTGCCTCTACTGCAAAAAACGTAATGCACAGTATAGCGATGCCTTCATACAAATGTACCTTCTCCAGGCCTTCTGTCTCTCTCAAAGCATAAGGTCTCTTACATGACTCAGTGTTCTTAATTTAGTAAAAATTTATTTTTCCTATTAAAAAATAATGCTAACAGAAGTTATACAAGCTTCAATTTCTTTTGGATAACTAACTTCTTGAACATACGAGTGATTAAGCCTTACCAAATGATTGCATTTGTACATTCACTAATCACCACCAAGGAATATCTAATCAGCAGCAAAAGAACTGTATCCAGAGCCCTTAGATCTTAGCTCTTAATTGTCTGAAAAATATTAACACTCAGTTTATATTTTTAAAGAAAAATAAACCTCAAATTTTCAAATTTTATTCACTTGCCCTAGATTATTCAAAGCACTTTACAGAAAGGTGAAAGCAATGTATTTCTAAGCTGAGGGTAAATCTAAAAGGGCAGGATCTCTAAGTAATTTCCTAATTTCAAGGTATATTTACAAAATCTATAACCTCTTATCACCATTCCATTCTAATGCATAACACCATAATATTAATCAACCCTAAATGATATTTATTTCAAAATAATTTGTATATTATGTATACAAAGGACAAATACAATTATACAATCTAAAAATGCAATTAGGAAATTCGGAAGCAAAAGAAGGAGGTTAACACACCTTTATAAGCATACTCACAAGTCAAAGGCCACTGACTTCAGAAAGAAAAGTGGCTGACTGAAAGATCTGCATTTTAGCAATTCATATCATCCTCAAGTCAACTGTGTGTATTCCTGTTTTTGTGTATTTTTTTTTGAAACAGATCTTACTGTGTAGGATATTAAAGGGGTGTGCACCACATCTTGCTTATTGTATGCAGTTTTTAGCAATTCTTAATACTGTTAAGAAAAACAACCATCTCATATAACTTCATATACCTTCCAGTCCACTCCCAGCTTGAACAAAGAAGTAATATTGTGGAAAAAAGTCCTTTCAAACTGCTACATGTTAACCTCTTCAACAAAAATTGCAAAGATTTCCCTCTTTTAAGTAGATTTAAAGGGCAGTGCTGTGCCAAAAGTCACAGCATCCCAACACTGTAATCTCAGCATTGAGGAAGGACAGCAAGTTCAAGCTCAGCCTCGGAACATTTTCTGAGAAAGTGATTCATACTCATTGTAAAAAATTTAAACTTTTAAAAGTATAAAAGCAAAAATGAGGGCCAGGAAGATGGCTCAGTGGAATAAGTGCTTCTCTGGCAAGTGCAAGGGCCTGAGTTCAATCCCCGGTTCTGAAAAAAAAAAAAAAGCAAAAATGAGTCTCCTATACCCTACTCAGAAAAAATTTGCTTATAGCTTACATGCTTGAAGTTTTTCCTAGCCATAAAGAGATGATGTGTGAATATGCCACAGTTTACTATTAGTTTATTCTACTTGTGACAGGGATCTGGGATTTCTAGTTATTTGCTCCTCCACAAACATTCTTGGACATGATATTTTAGTGCTCATATGATGTGTTTTTGTTATATACATACCTAGAAAAGGTATGCATATGACTGGGTAGACACTGCCCATTTTCCAAAGGGTGGTTTGTACCAATCCTCACTCCTAGTGTGAGCATTCCTAAGTGTCTCTGTGTTGCTGGGCTACAGAAATACAACTGATTTTTCAATATTGACTTTGTATCTTGTGTTATGTCGTGTACGCAGTTGAATTCAACTGAATATCTGTTGACCTTTTGTTCTTTCTATCTGGGTATTCTGAAGATTATCTTTTTAGTGACAGTAGCACTGACTTAAAAGTGTTCAAAATAATGATATACTGTGGTGCTCAGGATAAAGAATGAGGGCAATTCTCAAAACAATTCAATTTTGTTTTAATTTAATTTACAAAATTAAAACACAGTTTCCAAAATGTAGCTATTATAAATTGTGAGGCTATAATATAGAAGAGAGATAAATAGTAAGGACGGAAAAGTTCATATTATTCCTCAAATTATATATTTCATTGTTTTAAAAATATTTCAATATATAGTAATTTGTTTCATTTATCTTAGTTCATTGAACAAAAGTTTAAATTATATATTTCTTGGAAGAATCTTTTTGTTTTATGTCTTGTACTGAGTAAATACTTTGAAGATAAGAATATACATTGTAATAACTTGTTATTCTCTTATTATTTGGTTATAAAATTTGTTCTATTTTTTCATAAAGTATGAAGAAAAAATTAAAATACAAACTAATCTCTAATACTCTCATCTATAAAATACATATGAAGATTCTTATATTTTCACAAAGC